CTTCTCCGCAGGCATTCTGTTCTTTTGCATTTTGCCCACCCGGCGGCACTTCCGCTGCGTCCAGATGGTCCTGGAGTACGGGGCGGATGTGAATAACGTGACCTTCGATGGGAAGCCGGTTTTCCTGCAAGCCTGTGAGCAAGCGCACGAGATCAAAGAGACGTGCCTGATCTTCTTGGAGAGAGGAGCCGACCCCAATGCAGTGAACCTGGTAAGGATCAGGAGGGGCGGGGGAGCCGCATCAGTCTGTCTGCAGCAGCCGAAAAGAGCCAGAGTCCAGGAGCACCGGAAAGACTGACACAATTTATGCCGAGCAGCGGCCCACGGAAGCTCCCTCCCCTGCCACAAATTGTGTTAGTCCGTGAGGGGCTCCTCGACGCCGGCTCTTTCCATCTAGTAAGGATGTTCTTGCTGTTTTCGGCAGCGGGGGCACCTGAGGCTGTTGAGAGGGGCCTGGGCAGCACATTGTCCTTGGGCCATCTTGTTGCACCCCCCCCATTAATGGTGATAAATGGGTTACTGATCATGAATTCTGATTCGCTAGGGAGGCGGTGGGGAGGGGAGGCGGCACGACACAGGCCAGTCTTGTCAGATATGAAAAGCTGAGCAGGGTCGGCACTTGGTGTTGGGAAATTTGGTAAAAATAGTTAGATATTCAGAGTTTGCAATGGGTCTTTGCAGGGGTCCTTTCGTAGAAAAAGAGGTGCAGGAGCTCATTAGAATAACTCATTAGCATAACTTATTTGCATGTGCCACACCCCCTGACATCACCGGAAGTGTGTCAGAAGGCAACACCCACTGCTCAGGCTCCACTGGACTGTTTTGGATTGCTAGCTTTTTTGGGGGGGGGGGAACGTGCAGATCTGTCCCTTGCAGAGGAGGGAGAGCTCGTACGTGAATAAAACTTGGACTTAAAGGTGCCACTGGACTGTTTTGGATTGCTAGCTATTGTGGGGGGGGGACATGCAGATCTGTCCTCGCAGAGGAGGGAGAGCTTGTGCCTGAATAAAACCTGGTCTTAAAGGTGCCACTGGACTGTTTTGGATTGCTAGCTATCGGGGGGGGGGGAGAATGTGCAGATCTGCCCTCACAGAGGAGGGAGAGCTTGGACCTGAAGGTGTGTGGGGGGCTCTGCAACTTACCTGTTGCTTCTTGCTCCTTGTGGCCTGGCTGAGGGCTGCTGGGAGCAGGGGGCGGGGCTTGTTGCATGTGCCCGCCCCCTGGGCTTCTTACTGCCGGAGCTCCGAGTCTGTGCACTCCTGCAGAAAATGACCCCTGGATCTTTGTTCACTGAAGAGGAGGCATTTTCTTTCTGTGTAAAAATCTTTATTTCTAAAGAGAAATCTACAAAACAGACACTTAAGACTACATGCTTAACCGTTACAAGTACAACAGACAAAGCTGGCCACACAGTTGGTAGTGGAGATTCCTCTTTCTTCCTGACCTCTAGAAGGAAATCACCTGAATGCATTACCCAATGATTATTAGTAAATAGACTCCAGTTTCCCGGGCTTTCTCTCCATTGGCTTTGTGCCAGTTTCCCTTCCAGGTCAGTCTAAACCAGAGGTTCCCAGACTTATTTGGCCTACCGCCCCTTTTTCAGAAAAGAAATTACTCAGCGCCCCCCTGGAAATCTACCTTCAAGAAGTGGACAAAAAGATGCAGTGACAAATTTGCACATAGTAAAGAAAGATGTTGTTGTAAGTAAAGAAAGATGTTGTCGGCCTGAAGCCAGAGGCCAGCAGCAGCCACCACGCAATAACCCAGCAGGAACACCACCCTTGCAAGGGTGCACATGCACCCTCCCTCAGGGAGGGAGGGG